AGAAATTGAAGGTAATGTTCGACTCTTTATTTAAATGGTGATTGATTTTCTTATTGGCTTGATTTTGATAAACTACACTAAATTATTTCTCATGTAGCTGAAAATGGTTAAAGACGCAAGAGTATAGGTCATACGATAATGAAACAATTGTACCAACTTCCTCTTAGGGACCGCGTGAGAGTTTCAAGTAACGATGTTGGTCAACCTATTGGGATAAAAACACGTGTTCTATCAGGTTACCTAGGCATTATTGCACGCAATGCAAGTCTTCTACCGCTCAATTTTGAGTCATGGCGTGAGATGTCGAATAGTAACAAAAACCAGGATGTGGATTGCATTAAGGTAATAATTTCATTGTAATAAATAATTCATTGTAGTTTAATAGTAATATATATTTACTTTCAAACTTGTGTAATTTATAGGAAAAATTTTCTTTAGAGGTCTCAGATGATTATTTGAAGCAAGCGTTAGAAAAGAAATGGAGAGACCACAAGAGTTTCTTAAAAAATAAATATTTTAAGAACAATCTCAGCCTTGAAGGAAAGCTGCAAAATGTCCCACCTGTAATGCTCAGATATCAATGGGAAGATACAGTCAGGTTTTGAAGTTCAAAGAAATGAGAGGTATGACAAGCTTTAAAAATAATATTATGTCACTATATTATTGACTTATAAGTCATGTGGAGTTCAAATTGTAGGAACGAGAGCACGTTGGTATTAATAGCAGACAAAAACAAAAGTTTACTCACACTGCTGGATCGAAGAGCTTTGCTCGTGTAGCTTATGTACATGTATTCTTTCTTTTTTTTTTAAATTATGATTATTCATATAGTCATTTTAAGTTGGTAGCATATAGTAATTAACATATTTTTCTATTATTTATTACTTTTTTGTAAGTATTAATTTATATTCTATATTGTAGAAAATCACGTCCATCAATAGAGTTGGACAAATAAAGCTCTTCGAAATGACACATACAAAAAAAGATGGCTCTCCTATGGCTCCTGAAGCTGCATAAATTATACTATATTTAATGGACATAAAATTTGCATTATGTTATATTTATAGTATAATATTTTTATTTTAAATAATGTTTGAATTTGTTCTAAATTCTTAACCGATGATCAGGAAAAATTGAGCAATAAAAGGGTAGAGTATGAAGCTACGGCTTCATCCCATGCTTATATTAATGCGGATGATATTGAAAATCAAGTTATTGTTGAAGTTTTCGATCCTGAAAGATATGGTCGAGTTCGCTGTCAGGGATCATTCGTTGCTCCAATCAAATATTTTGGATCCAGCTCATCTCAGTAATGCCATCACACAGCCAGTCTTCTCAACAAGAATTTAATCGATTAAAACAACAACTGAGTTAAGTTGATGAAAAAATTACTCAAATGAAAGCCGAAGCTGAAGCGAGGGAAGCAGAGAGCAATGAGAGAAGTAGTGAGAGAAGCAGAGAGAGGCAGAGAGAGAAACAACATTTCAGAAAAAATATGCAAAACTTCAAAATTAAATTGAAGCAATGAAGTAGATGATGTAGCAGAATCAAATGAAGAATTCATCATCCTAGGAGTTTTCTTAGGTTAATGCTTTGTTTATGTTATTGAAAAATGTTGAACTACATTATATTTAACTTGGATGTTTGTAAACTTTGATCTATTTATGTTTTTATGTATTATTACTTAATTCGAATCATAATTAAATTTAAGATGATTATTGGATATTGTTACAGGTTAAATTTGGGTAATACAAAATAAGAAGAATATATGTTGAAAATCAATTTCGATTAGACGCGTTTTAGGGGCAAAATGCCACTAACAGAGTGCATATTTGGCGCTAAATGACCAACCTATTGTGGCGTTTGTGACTAAAAACGCTACTAAATAGCAAACCTGTTGCGGGAAAACGCCTATAAATATCAAACCTATTGCGGCGTTGGTGCCCAAAAACACCGGTATATGGTGAACCTGTTGCGACATTTGTATACTAAAACGCCGCTATATAACCTGACTTTTAGTTGCATTTATTAGTAGAAAACACCACTAACAGTTGCGGTGTTTGTATTAACGGCATTATTTGTGACGTTTTGTTTTGCGCCGACAGTATTTTTAGCGACGTTTTTAAACGCTGCTATAGGACAAAAAACACCACTATAAACCACTGCTGTTGTGAATTTTTACTCGAGTCTATTGTAAATACTTTATTTTACTTATGTATTTGGTTTTCAAATAACGAGGTTCGTTTTTGTAATATTTACTTTTTACATATATTGTATAATTTATTTTAATTTTTTAATAAGTCGTATTTTTAAATTGTGGAATTATTTTAATGATCTGATGTAACATTTTCGATTTGGGTTTGGCGTCCAGCTGAATCAAGGATGTTATACAGTCATTAATGTGGATTTTTTCCTTTTTATTTTTTTATTGAACCAGAAGATAAACATGGATTGGCTGGAATGGTACACTTAGAAAATATTGTGTGAATAGTAGTAGGTAATAATAATTTGATAATAGCATCTCCTTAATTACCTAGCAATGAAGCTTGGAGATGGAGATATATTAAATAACGTATTTATCAATAATTGTATTCCTTTAAACTAATTATAAATGAGTGAGATACTGAGGGTCCAGCTAGTTATAGATGGTAGGTAGGTTGTCATTGGAGGTAAAAAAACAACTTGGAATCTGCTGTTATAAGTAAAAACATTCGTTGACAAGGATTTTATCATATCTCACTTAATTTGGTCATCGAGGACGGATATAAGATTTTATATCAGGAGGGATAAACTTATAAAATTTTAGGTAAGAGAGAATTTATAAAATTTTAGGATATGAAAACATATTTTTAATAGAAAATACAAAAAAAAATCTAAAATATATAAAAATTTAAAATTTTTAAAGGGACTACCACCCCATCTACCCCTCTAAGTCTATCCCTGCACCCTCTATGAGAGACATAAGCTTCATTACATGTGCACTAAGGTTGTATATGCAATTACTGGCCAACCTAACCCTTTGTTCTTTTTATGTCAAACCCCCAACAAGAAACGAGGTAAATGTAGTAAGATTGGATGGGACTCGACACTGCCTGTTGTTTTTCCACTATAAAAATTTGCTTTTCATTTCACTGTATTCATTTTTGTTTTCGTCGATATGTAAATGTTACTCCTAGCTGGAAAGAAAATTGTAGTGCAAATTGGGCCAATTGATGATGGAATCGAACAGCCTGGATGGGATGAGGACATTGACTTGATTTAATTAACGACAGCGGAAATGAGTTTTAATGCATGGTTTAGTTGGAGAACGATTGATGTACTTGCTAATTACTCATGGTTTACGTTTTGCATTTGTTTTGTCATGAACCCTACAGATACTGGCCAAGATCAAGTTGACATAAATAAATAAATAAAAAGTGACTTGATTATTAAAAAAATAGTAGGAATAGGTAAAATAAAAGGTTCTTTTTATTGGAAATATACAAATTGGGTTGGAATAGGCAATGGCGGATCTAAAAATTGAAAAATGAGAGTCTAAAATTATAATGCTTTATTTTAAAAAAAATTTGGGCATGCAAATTTTCTTATTTTTCCTATTGTCATTAACAAATTAAACTAAATTTAAATTTTCCCCCAAAATAATGAGAGTGCAAGTGCTCCCGTAGAGAGCCACATGCATCCGCCACTGGGGTAGGTGAATATCTTGACTTAAAAAAAAGTTAGGTTTCAGAAATGGCTCTTTCATCCTTCATGAAGTTTGACCATATTGTCAATAAGATCTGTTTTATTTAAGGTTAAAATACATCATTCCTCATTAAATTTTATCATCTCTTCTATTTCACTAAATGTAGTTTTAATTTTTTTAATTTTTACTAAACTTTCAAATTATTCTTGTTTTAGTCACTCTAAATTATTTTATTATTATTTTGGAATGACATGTCATTTTTTATTATTATTTAATATAAAAAATTTAAATACAAATTAAAAATAGAAGATGGTCGTCCATTGTTCGTCGACGTTGGATGCCACCGTCAACGGTCGTGGATGGTGGCCATTCGGTCCCAGATTTTATCAGTCGCTTCATCTTGATCCATGAGTCCAAATATGACCTCCATTTTGTCGGAACATGCTCCGAATCAGATCAAAAGTGAGAAAATTGAAATGTCGATCGTCGCCGACCGTTGTAGATGGTGGTAGTTCGGTCTCAGATTTCACGGGTCGCTTCGTATCGACCCCCTAAGTCCGAATTTGACCTCCATTTTGTCAGAATATGCTCAGTACTCCATGAATTAGAAATCGAGAGTGAGGAAACAAAAATGTTTTCGTCGAGATTCACGGGTTTTTGGACATTTTTTGATGAAACCACTAGATTTAGACTCAGTGTGTTAAAACGAGTCTCTCGCTACAATTTGAAATCAAACGACTACTGGTTCTGAAGGCCAACGGTGATCGATGGTGACGAGAAGTAGTGGTGGTCGTCAGTGGGGGTTGGGATGAAGAAGATAAATGGGTTAGGGATATTATTTTTATTATTTGTTTTGAAATTATTTTTATATTAAATAATAATAATAATGCCACATCACATAATAATAATAATAATAAAATAATTTATAGTGATTAAAACAGAAGCAATTCAAAAGTTTAGTGAGAAAATTGGAAAAATTGAAAGTACAATGAGTGAAATAGGAGAAAGAGTAAAGTTTAATCACGAATAGCGTAATTTACCCTTTGTTTAAAGTACAAATAGTAAAGGGTGGGAGTTTGGCAATTCGAATCTTCAACCTTTGAAGGTTGAACCATTAAAAAACCTGAGAGTTGAAGATGTGGGTGATAGTCCCCCTCACCCCAACAAAAAGGAAATGTAGGACAGCCTTACAGCCTGTACCGAAGCAAAGCTACCTAGCTGTACACGGCATTTTCCTTTTCACGTACAAATGAAATGACACCTATAAATACCTCTGCAATATCTCACAAATCCCTCCAAGGGCAAGCCACATTTGATATCAACAAATCAAAAGAGAAAAGAATGAAGTTTACAATGGCTACGTTGTTGTTTGTTTCCCTGGTTTTGTGTTCATCATTTATCCAACACTCCTTTGCTGCATATCCTGCAGCTCCTGTTTCTCCTCCATCACCTGCTCCTCCGAGTAACGCTCTCTCCTTGCATGACATAATGTTACGCAAATACTAAATCTACCAAATATAGTTCACTTTTTTTTATTGATATCATTATATAGTACTAAACAAATGTTGGTTTTTTTGTGTGACGAAAATTAATAGGTTTCTGTGACAGCAAGTGCGGGGAGAGGTGCGGGAAGGCTGGAATGAAAGACCGGTGCTTGAAGTATTGCGGGATATGCTGCCAAGAATGCAAATGTGTTCCATCGGGTACCTATGGGAACAAGTCGGAGTGCCCTTGCTATAGGGACAAGAAGAACTCCAAGGGCAACCCCAAGTGCCCTTGAACTTCAACTTCCCATATGCATATATACGATGGTGTTCACTTATTAGTATTACAATTCAACCATCACTTCTGCTTATTACGCATGGTTTTTGCCACTTTTTTATCTGCCTTCTCACAGTTCATAGAGAAGGCATATAATAATAATAATAAAATAATAATTGTAATAATATATTAATAGCTATCCACGTCCTTTAATTATATGGATTTTATAATAATAAATACAAAATAGTATCTATTCAAGCACCCCTAACATTCTTGATGCTCGAACCCGAGACCTCAATGAATAATAACAATTTCTTTACCACCGAGGTAACTACGAGACATTATTAAAAACAATCCCATAATCCCAACTTCTTTCCGCTCATAAAATCTGGTTTTTCATTTTCTTGCCAATGCATTTAACTTACTTCAATCGTATTATTGGTATTAGAAAGTTGCATCATTTTTCAAGAATTTTAGTGACAGTAAGAAATAAACAGTGAACAACTACAATAAATAAATACAAATTGAAAGTCAATGTTTGAGAACAGGCTTGGTGATGTAACTCATAAAGGCAAAATTTGATCATTTGCATCCTTCAGTTTTGACCCACACAAAGGGTGATGCGTTTATTTAATTTTGTTCTCTTTACAAAAAGCAAAATAGCCATGGCTCCTCCTGTATTGTGTGCAGAATCCATACCCCAAATCTCTCTGAAATTCTCATTCTTTTTCTCCCACAGGTTCTAAGACTGCAGTGGTTGGAGTTCGTGTTCCCGAGCTGTTCCGTTGACGGATTGATACAGAACAAACCTCTGTTGTCTGCGTCTCCACAGCCAAATCCCAGAAGCTAATAATCCAACAATAATTAACATGATTACAGACATAAGCGCCCCTAGGTAATGCTGCTGCCACCATGTTCTGTATCGTTTAAAACCAACAAACCCATTTAGAGCTTATATCATACTTGTCAACAAAATCTACAAGTTAATCACGGGAAACATACTGCGTCAAAGAAGGCTTCACTTCCCATTGCACCAACTGATAATTCCCGAAGGCTTCAGGAATCGTCACACGATGTTCCGCGAGCCGAGATATTATGTTCTGGAAGCAGAGGTTCATCAAGCAAACAACTGTAATCATACGTTAAATGAATTGCAATGATATACAAAGAAAACTTACTAGGGCAGTAACATTAGAAATGTAGGTTGCTGATCTTGAAGGGACTATGGCCCATCTCACAAGAGAACTATTTCCTTCAGATGAAAAATCCAATAAATGGACCTGAAATCATCCAAAAGTTATCATAACCATAGACAGAAAAATCAACCGTTCAACAAAATAGTTCAAAAATTCCTTCAGTACTAATGCCCTGCATTTGAAGATGGTAGTTGTTTAACCTGTGAACCATTAACATCTAGCTCCTTGGCCATAAACTCAAGAAGTTCGACCAGACGCGGCCTTAGATATGTGTAGTTGACACTCAATGCTATATCCAATGAAATTGCACCAATTTCGATATCCCCTATTTATCAACAATAAAAATGTCATTATAATATGAAAATATCACTCGGAAAGCATAATTAACAGAAGTAATGATCATTTTCATGCTTTTCAATAAAATAAGCAGCAGAACTGAGTTCTAACTTCAAACCCTGTAACGTGTCCGGGTATAACCATGGTTTAGCATACCTGGAAGAGCATAATAAGGTGTTCCATCAGGAGCTGACGTAGGTGGCATTTCAAAGGTTGAATGGTCCTTCCCACTTGAAGATGAAGGTGATGGTGACTGTGCACCAGTTACATGAAGTCTTTTCCATAGTTCAGAACAATTAGTCTTCCAGAAACCAATCTTTGAATGCTCGCGGTCATATGTAACAAGAGTATTCCTCACAACGATTCCTATTACGAAAAGAAATAACAAAAATAGCAGTCTCACAATTTTCATGGCATCAAACTAAAGCTTTGAAATTGAAATTGAGATATTCCATCAAACTTTTCCCAAAGAAGATCACAAAATACTAGAGTTATCTGAAAGTAAGCATACCTCCCAGAAGGGTAGTTGGATCCACACCATTTTGGAAGATCCCAAGGCAATATGCACCTTCTACCTTAGAATGCTTCATGAATAAGATGAAAGATAAGTGAAAAAATCCTAGTCACATATTGAACATCGAGGACAGGGCAGAATACTTGACTGAATCAAATACAATTATAGTTAAACCAACTCCAAGTATAACCTTAAGAAGGTTCCCTTGAGAAATGAAGATGTTCAATCAACAGAAAACAATTAGAATGTGAAAAGCTTACTCGAAACAAGTAATTCTCAGGTGAAAGCAATAACTTTTGCTGATCGCCAAATACCAGTTCCACTGTTGGAAATTTTTTTGAGAGTTGAGAGACATCACTGAAGCAGAAAACAAATTTTAACAGTTAAACATAACTAATCAGTTTCTATAACAAATAGTTACAAAAATTTCAATTTTTTCTGTTATGGTAAGTAATATAGGCATACCTGCTAACACCAGAAAAGCATATATCTTTGTAACTTGCAACAGGGCCTCTGATCTGCTTTAAGCTATTAAGTTCCTTCATAATCTTCAATATAAAGATGCAAATATGAGATAGGGGGAAATGAACAAACACAATAAAATTTATTAGTTTTAAGTTTTGACTTCTAACATGTTAATCTATAAAGCATGTAGTCATATCATGCCCTTAAGCACATAAATTCCAGGTCAAATATGCAAAAATTGTTGAGAATAAAACTTCAATGATCCGCATATCAATGCCATGAAGGATGAAGAGTGAAAATTTCCAAGTCATTTAGCCAGGAGCAACAAAAGAGTAATCAAAGCACATTAATAGGCCTGCCTAAAATTTTAAGAAACTGTGATTAATTCATGGGAACAAAACCTTACAGCATCCTTAAAGGCCGCAAACACTTTTTCTGGTAGATATGCATATGTTGTACCACTATCCAGAACAGTTCCAAACTTTCCATCAAAGATGCTTGGGTTCAAACCTAGCTTCTTCCCAGCAACATGTATCTCTTTCAACTGAATGTTGTAATATGGACTGTTGCCATCCCGAAACTAGAGTAAATGTGCCGGGTGTATCGATTGTTTTTGTTAGGAAGTTGACGAGGTACTCTATCTCTGAGATAAAATTGTTTACAAAACGTACCTGCGTGTAGGATCCGAATAACTAAAGACCATGTCTGATGGTGCTGATATACCACCAAGAACCATAGCGCCCCCACCAACATCCATCCCACCATAACATAATGAGAAAGAATCACTAAGCACACCTTTATACACAAGCTGGTCAACAATGCTGAGATCACCACGGCCCAATCCGATAATGCCGTCTGCATGTTGTCTGTATAGGTCACCGGTTTCCTCGGTTTCACAACCAAAAACAGTACGCTGGGGTAAAAGTTCACTTAGATTCCCAAATGAAATGACATCCTCAGCAAGAACACCACTAGTGACACTCATTTCAGCATACTGTCTCTCATATATACATTGATCCCTGTCTTGGTCACAGTTGCAATCCAAACTGCACTTTACAGGTTGGTAAGTACTGGACATTTCGGGCTGAAACTTTGGATCCTGATATAAACAAATCAGAAACCACCTAAGAATATTTTGTTGAGCCAACATTATGAAAACTTTGATCGAATATCATTAGGTTTGTTCTAAAAACAAATAGTTTGATTTTACATCTTAACAAATGTAAAATATTACTATTACATATGAAAAAAAGAAACCATGCATTTTACTATATGTAAAAGCTGTAATATTTTTTACATTCATTTTTGTAAAAGAAAAAATAACCTTTTTATTTTCCCTTCTAAAAAGGGATGCAATCAACGACCAAATAAAGCTTAAAATCGAATGTCTCAATAATTGGAGTAATGCTAAAGAAATCAGAAAGAAGTTTTTCTGCTCCATATTTTTTTTGAATTAATCAAAAGAAATCGGGTACTGCAGAGGCAATGGTAACCCTCCTAACCCAATTTGCTCCATTCGCAAACACCATAATTCGAACACTGACCTTGATTAAGGGACCTGGTTGTTGGTTTTCTGCTCCATCTCAAATGCGCTTGGAATACGCTAAATCACTAGAGATTAGGAACATGATCTCAAGATTTGGATTTTAGTTTATTTCCATATAAATTGCGTAAACGAAATGCATATATTGCATAAATTAGTTAAAATTTAATATGTTTATGTATTTAAAAAAGTATGAAAACAAAAATTTGAAAATAATCATTAATGCTACATTGACACCTATTCATATATACAATTATACGATCACATTTACACTATTTTACAATTACTGTTTGAAACACCAATGTAATCTTTAAAGATATTAAAAACGAATAAAGCGTTTAATAAAAAGCAAAAGAAAGTGATTAAGGAAGATCGGAATGGGAAGAAGATGAAAATTTAACATCACCTGATGTGTACCACAATTTTCACAAGTAGAGCAAGGAACGTAAGTAACAGTGCTTCCGGTATCGACTATAAGGGCAAATTTCTGCGGAGGTGTCCCGATCCATAGCCGCGTAGTGTAATACCTATGAAATTTCAAATCCTCAGAAAATGCATGCGAGTATTATTTAGAGGGAATAATAGAGTGCGTACCCGCGGCTGAGGAGGTCGTCGTAGAGTCGCATGCGAGCGCTGGGATGAGATGAGTTATAGTTGGATCTCAGGAGGCGACGAGAAGTGTTGGGAAACGTTATGGAGGAATTATTGGAAGGAGAAAAGAGAGGGAGGACCATGGCTGGACGAGCGACGGGGTGAGGTGGAGGGAGGAGGATTGGCTGCGACGGCGACGGGGAGAGAGATTGGGATAGAAGAAAGAGGAAGAAAGCGAGTGGCCATGCCATTGCCATTGTCAAGAAGCGTTGTTTGGATTGGATTACAAATGAATGTTTGGATTTCTGTTTCTACTGTAACCAACTTCCGTATTGTCTTTTTTTATAATAAACTATACGTTACAGTAGCCAGATCTGTTTCACTTTTATTTTTCTTAAAATATTGGACTACACCTTCACCCTCCTAAATACATACAACAATTTTTTTTTATGTAAATAGAAATCGTTAATTTTATTTAAAAAATTATTTATAATTATAATAAAAGTTTATAATCACTATAAACATAAACTAAGCATATAATTAAGATATTTCTTATAACTATTAACTTAAGAAACTAATCACTTGTGATCATGCAAGAACCATATAAGGGAAAGATTAAAACTCCATACACAAAAACTTGAATAAAATATAGATACGAAGAGATCTGTCTGCATCGATAAACAAACCATAAAAGAGGATCAAATTATTAAAATATCACCGACAATCGTAAACCAAAATCGAGCGTATTGAGAAGACTATCTTCAAACACAAATCACATATTTAAATTCAATCTGATAGTCCAAAGAAGGGAATATCAACATGATAATAAATAACAATCATCTTGATCAGTCGAGGCTACGTCTAATCCTACTATGAGAAAATTAAACAAATAGAACGACCAAAACGATCGATAAAGAAGAATGAATCGTGCCAAAAGACAGGAAAACAAGCCATAAAGATGAAGAAAAATATATCATAAAGACATAATTATTAAAAATAAAAAAATAAAAGATAAACAAAAATGTGATATAATAAAATAAAGGAAAATTAAGAAATATTGAGGGTCGACTATCAACATCAAAACTAATGTAGCCCACAACCAATAAAATAAAGAAAATAAGGAAAACATATCGTAAAGAAAATGAGAGAATATAATTAGATTATAATTTTTTATTAAATACATACGATAATTTAAACCCTTCTGTTTGGATTGTATAAATACTCATAAAGAATGAAAGGAAAAAAATAAAAGTAAAGAAATTCTTTTAATTTTGTCAGTTCATGCACGATTAAAACCCTATGGAATAGTGAAACAACAGAGAATTTTGCCCCTAAACAAGATCTACGACAGGGTGACCCGCTCTCACCCTACCTATTTATTCTATTCACGAAAAGATTCTCATATGATCCTTGAAAACATAGAAAATATGGAATTGAGGGCCCTGAAGACCTCAAAAATATCTCATAAGTCAAAATTGTTTGTTTCTCCCAATATTAATCCAGTTACTGCTAAAATACTAAGCAAAGCGTGTAACATCCCCTTGACGGACGACTTGGGCACCTACTTGGGAGTCCGAATAATCCATAAGAGGGCTAATGCAGATACTTATACTCCTACTCGACAAAGTGATGCGCAAACTATTCGGTTCAAAAGGAAAAGTCTTGTCCATGGAAGGGAGAACCCTAATCCAATCAATCACAACATTTATCTCTGTCCACACAATGCAAACTTACTATGGAAAGGAGGAACTAATTACACGCATAAACATCTGGTCAGCTGGGACAAAATGTTCACTAGTAAATCTCAGGAAGGTTTTGTTGCGGAATACGGCTATCGGATAGAGCAAAATTGCAACTGATAATTTGAGAAAATAAAGATGAAGATAAAGAAGACACAAATTTTATGTGAAAAACCTCTAAATAATATAGGGTAAAAACCACGGGCAAAGATAGAAGAATTTCACTATAAGAAAATAGGAATTACAACATCTAGTTCAAGTAATTCTTTTGTGAAAGCCAAATCTTCCTATTACTTATGTCTCGGTGAATTTGCATCCCCAAGATCTTGTTTGCTGATCCCAAGTCCTTCATTTCAAATTCCCTAGCCAGTTATGCCTTCAATTCTTTAATATGATCTTTGTTGAGTCCTACAACCAACATATCATCCACATACAACAACAATATAACAAATTCATTATCACCAAACCTCTTGAAATAAGCACAAGGGTCTCATTAAGTCTGTTGTATCCAATGCACATAATGAAGGAATCAAATCTCTTATACCAACATCTTGGCGCCTGCTTTAGACTGTACAAAGATTTTTTCAACCTGCAAACCAAGTTCTTCTTTTCTTTTTCTTCAAAACCTTCAAGCTGGAGTATATAAATTTCTTCTTCAAGGTCTCCATGAAGAAAAGTTGTTTAAATATCTAGCTGCTTTAGATGTAAATTCAATGTAGCACATATTGCCAAGACTACTCAAACTGTTGTTAGTCGAACCATAGGAGAAATGATTTCATTGAAATCAATACATTCTTTTTGAGCATATCATTTGACCACCAGTGTTGCACGATACCTCTCCACTTGATCATTACCATTTCGCTTGATTTTGAAGACCCATTTGTTACCAATTAGCTTCCTTCTTGTGGTAGTGACACAAGGTCCCATGTAATATTTTTATGAAGGGCTTCAATTTCTTCTTGCATCACCATCATCCATAGTGAAGCATCTGAGCTGTTTATTGCCTCTTGAAATGTTGATGGCTCATCGTCATCTGTTAAAAGGCAGTATGCAATATTTCATTCTATAACTTAATTTGAGTGCCAATTGGGACGTCTTTTCATACGATATAATTGACGAGTTGTTGGAGCTTCAGAACTCTCTGGTTCTTGTTCATTATGTGCTGGTTCTGCTTCAGAAGAATCTCCTTATTCAAACTCATTTTGTACATGTATATGTGTAGTCTCTGACTTTTCAACGCTACCATCTTCTTCTTTTCTTTGTAGCTTATCTTCTTTTCTTTGTAGTTTATATTCTACAAAGATAACATCTCTATTGATGATCACTTTGCGGGCAGTGGGATCCTACAAGTGATACCCCTTTACACCATCAACATACCCCAAGAATTTGCATTTCCTGGATTTTGGATCCAACTTTGAAATTTCTTGGGAGTTGCACATCACGTACACAATACTTCCAAATACACGGAGGTTTGAATAATCAACTGGTTTACCAGTCCACATCTCCATTTATGTCTTCAGCTCTATTACAGTTGATGGAGCTCGATTCACCAAATAACAGGCGGTATTGACTGCTGCCCAAAATGATTTTTCTAGGCCTGCAACCCTCAACATTGCTCTTGTTCTTTCTAACAAGGTTCTGTTCATCCGCTCTGCCACTCTATTTTGTTGAGGAGTGTTCGCCACTGTGAACTGTCTTTTAATGTCTTCTTTCCTGCAAAAGTCATCAAATTCTTCGCTTGTGTATTCTCCTCTATTATCTGTTCTGAAACACTTGATCTTATTTCCAGAATCAAGTTCCACCCGCACTTTGAAGTTTTTGAAAGTTAAAAACGCATATGACTTATTCTTAATAGGGTACACCCAACATCTCCTAGAGTAGTCATCAATAAATGAGACAAAGTATTTTGCTCCACCTAGGGATGTAACTGTTACTTGCCATACCTCAGAATGAACCAATTCTAGAACACTTTTGCCTCTAGAATTTGACGTGTTGAATTTCAACCGGTGTTGTTTACTTTTTATGCAATGCTCACACAAAGTAAGTGATACCATTGTTAAGCCTGAAAGTAGCTTTTGCTCCACAAGGACTTCCATTCCTTGTTCTGACATGTGTCCAAGTTTCTGATGCCATAGCATTGTAGAATCTGAACTACATGAGGCAACAGAGGCTTCTGCTTCTAGCAAAGTCTCTCCCTTCAGCGTGTACAAGTTTGCTGCTATCTTTTCACCTTTCATCACCACAAGCGCTCTACGGAACACCTTCATGATTCCTTTCCGTGTTTCAATCTTGCTTGCATTATTATCTAACAATCCGTAAGATAATAAATTTTTCTTCAGGCCTTTCACGTGTCCTATATCTCGAACAACTTTAATTGTTCCATCTTACATCTTCAATTTGATAGTTCCAACGCCAATAATCTCTAAGGCATGATCATTGCAACTATACATAGATCCTCCTGAGATAGGTTTATAATGATGAAACCATTTTATTCTTGAGGTCATGTGATATGTTGCTCCCGAATTAATGAGCCATATATCTGCAAATCTCTATCTACCTTCCACGGTGGTTGATGCTTCACAACATAAAGCATCTCCATCATCTGAAGTGTTTGCGGTATTGCCTTGTGGATTGGAGTTTTTACCTAGACTCCAACAATCCTTTTTCAAGTGACCCTTCTTTCCATAGTTAAAGCACTTTAAATTCTTTTTTATTCTCGACTTTGATCTACCATGTTTGTGACTGCTTCTTTGGCCACGTTCTATTGATCTCCCTCTCATCGTTGTCAACGCTTCTGCTTGTTGCATATTTACTTGTCTGTCTTCCATGTTCTTGCACCGATTTTCTTATTGTAGAAAAATAGCTGCAACGTCATCGAAGACTAGAATGGTGACATTACTGTTTGTCAAGTTGATGATGAGTTGATCATACGAATCGGGTAGACTTTGAAGTAGAAGTTCAGCACGTTCTTGTTCTCCTATTGTACATCTTAATGATGTAAGCTGAGAAAATAAAGTGTTCAGTGTGTTTAAGTACTCCGTCACTGAAGTAGATTCTGGCATCTAAAGAGTGTACAATTTCCTCTTAAGGAAAATTTTATTGTGCAACGATGTGGCCTCAGTATAGTTTGGTGAGATGATCTCATATCTCTTTAGCTGTCTTCTCCTCCTCGATGCTTAACAATACTTCATCTGTTAATGTTAGATGAAAGTTTGCCATAGCATTCCCGTCTATTTTGATCCATTCGTTGTCATCTGTGAAATCTACCGACCTTTCACTAATAGTCGCTAGACAACCGTCTTTTCTCAGGATGACATTCATCTTCAATTTCCACAATAAGAAATTTCTCCTATTGAATTTTTCAATATCAAATTTCGTTGCCATAGCTTCTATTATGGATAGCTTCCACTATTTCACTATCGTGAATAGATCTCTCTAGAACCTTCAAAGAATGGGTAATATCTTCTTACTTTCTTATGTTGTAGGATCCACCTTTTGGTGGCAACCACAAAGACAAT